GATGATTTTGAGACATGAACCGCTCCATTACTTTGGTCCGTTATTCAACGAGTATTCAGTTGATTCCTTCAGTGCAATTGAAGAACGTCGATTAGGGTTTCACCGCTTAACCCAACAGAAAATTTGTCAACGCAAAGAACTTCGTGATTCAATTGGCAATGATGACGATGTGGGGCGCACGTTTTTACCATCAAGTCATCTGCATTCCAAGCGAAATATGCAGGAAAACACTGCAGACGCTCTTGCCATTGTAGCAAAATTTGGAAAACCGACGTATTTTATAACAGTTACATGCAATCCGAAATGGCCAGAGATAACGTCTCAGTTAAAACCTCATCAAGACGCCTCTGATCGGCCTGACATTGTAGCAAGATTTTTCAAGGCGAGACTGCAAGAAATATTTGCTGATTTAGAACGAGCGTTTGGAGGGGGATCGATTATTTACCGCATTCACGTTATTGAGTTCCAAAAGCGAGGGTTACCTCACGCGCATATTGCCGTTAAAATGGCTAAAGAACCGCGTACCGATGAAGAAATCAACAAAGTAATTTCCGCCGCACTTCCAGTAAACGATCCAGAATTGTCGCAGGCTGTCAAAAAACACATGACTCACCGGCATGTTGAGGAGAGGTGCTACCGAAAAAAAGGTCTTTTCAATGTACCGGATGCAAATGGCCACGTACATAATAAAATGTGTGTGGCCTTTTATCCAAAGCCACTGAGCAGCCACACATTTCTTGACGATTCTGGTTTTCCACATTACCGAAGGTAATGTGGAAAAAGCTGATTGTTTCGTTGTGCCATATAATCCGCATCTGCTCCGTAAATATGATTTCGATATTAACGTTGAGATTTCCCATTCAGTACGGATAATAAGGTACCTTTACAAGTACTTTTACAAAGGTCCTGTCTATGCCAACGTAAAAATGTCGAATGGAGATGAAATAACGGAATATATAAATGCTCGATATATTTCGGCGTCGGAAGCCATTTGGCGAATATTTGAATACGACACAACCAGAATAATCCCATCTGTTGAGCAGTGTCCTGTCCATCTGCCCGATCGGAACTATATCGTATACAGCACGAAGCAAAAAAAGGTAGCAAAAGCAGAAAAAGTCAAGCAGCTGTCTCCTTTGGAGAAGTATTTTCAGAGACCACCAGGTGCTGATTTTGATGCTCTAAAGTACATCGAGTTTTATTCAGAATCTTCTGCCAACACGAAAAAACCACAATCGGCTGAAAACGTATTTGAATGTAAGATGTCAGATGGAAAGGTTTACTACGTTTATCCGCGAAAAACGGTTCAGGTGCCACTTCTGGCGCTTAAACGGTTTCAAGCTGGAGACGTGTGGTATCTCCGACTGCTTTTGAAACGTGTACCGTGTCGATCGTTTGAGGAACTTAAAACAGTAGAGGGTCGAATGTGCGAATCCTTTGCTGAGGCTGCCACTAAGCTGGGATTGTTTAATGATTCAACTCAGAGCAAGCTCTGCATGGAAGAAGCGATTGCTCAGTTTTGTAGTCCGTGTTAGCTACGAATTCTTTTCTTTCTTCTAGTAACGGAAGGTGCATCAGGGCCTTCCCTGTATGACGCTTTTAAAAGTCAAATATCTGAAGATTACCGAATTTACGACAAACTATCAGAATGGGAGTCGGAAAAAAAAAATCCTTTCGGACCTGTTCTCTAAATTCGATGCGGCAGGAAAAACTATGCAAGATTTTGGATTAGCTGAACCTCTCAACGAGAATTCGATGATCGAAAGAGAACTGGCACGACATGATGCAAAAGACATAGAGAGCATCCATCAAGCTATGTTAGGGTAGCTGAACAAGGATAAACGAAAGATTTACGATTTCATCGTCGAGCAAATTCAGAGCGAAAAAGGTGGACTGGTTTAGATATAAATGGCGCAGCAGGTCAGTTTGTGTGCTTAATTAAATGCTTTATTGTCTAATTATCTTTAAAACACCGCAGGAACTGGAAAAACGTTTTTGGTCAAATGCATAGCAAGGTTCGTCCGTGCATTAAAACAAAATGCTCTTTGCTGTGCCAGCACTGCTATAGCAGCATCGAATTACGAAGGTGGCAGAACGGCACATTCAACTCTACAGATACCAGTGGAAACAGACGCAGCAGAAAAAATTGAATGCAACGTACCAGTAAAATCACAAAGAGCAGATTTGTTGCGCGAAACTTCTGTGCTGATTTGGGATGAGTTTGCTATGACGCACAAAAAAATTTTCATGCCGTTGACGAAATGCTAGAAAACGTGCCTCGTTCTCCAGAAGTGTGCGGGGGTATATTATTCATTGGAACTGGCGACTTCCGATAAATTCCGCCAGCTATACCGTACGGATCCAAAGACCAGATAGTTGCCGCCAGTATTAAAAGTTCAAAACTGTGGAAACTATTTCAGACGTTTTCATTGAAAATATCTGTGAGACAGCAGAGTGACCCCGAATATGCAAGGTAGTTCAACGTGACTTTTATTTCACCGGCCCTCTGCCAAATTCACTGTTGCAGGTTGTTAGATAAGGTAGGCGACGGAACCTTGCATGAAGACCAGGATGGCTACATTCAGCTACCTGACTACCTTAACTACACGACATCGCTTGAAGTTGCTGAAAAATTTGCTTATCCCGATCTAAAAGAACCGGGCAGATGCGTTTCTGATACAGCAATATTGTCGCTACGGAACTATCAGGTGGACAGCCTGAATGATGACATATTTAATGATCTGCCAGGCCGCGCTGGCACTCTGCTCAGCTACGATAAGCTTGACTCAACTGACGGATTTTCTAGTCAGTAACTGAAAAATTTATCAGTGAACTCAGTTAATCTGTTTATTTTGGTAGATCACTTTGACGATGGCCTGAACGAAGATTTCTTGCACTCATTAAATGAAAACAATGTTTCTCTTCATGAGCTGAAAGTTAAAGAAGGAATGGAGTGCTATTTATTACGCAACATATCTCCAGAGGACGGGCTACTGAACAACGCTAAAATTATCGTTTTGAAATTCACCAAGAACGTTTTAACAGCCCGAGTTGTTGCAACAGGAAAGGTTGTGTACATTCCCAGAATTCAATTCATACTCAAAATAGAACGCATGAATTTTCAGATGAAACGGAGACAATTTCCGATCCGTCCGTGTTACGCAAGGACATTTAACAGAGCACAGGGAGCAACGCTTCTGAAGTGTGTGTTAGACCTACGTGATGCTCCGTTTACCCATGGACAGCTTTATGTTGGTCTTAGCAGAGTTCGGCATAGAAACGATATTCTGATTTTACTGACTGAAGAGCAAGCTAATTCTGCCTACCCCTTAAAAACTCGGAATGTGGTTTTCGGTGAACTTCTAGTAGAAAGTAAATAAAGACGATTGCTATAAAATTAATGAAAATGCTGTAATACTTAGAAAATCAGAGCTGACACTGAATAATTATGATGATTTGATTACACAGAAAATCAGTTTATAATAGAGCTTGTTCTAGACACACCACGGTGACCATGACGATGATGACTCACCATAAATTTATCGTTTTTCTGCTCTTTTCGCATCGTTACGGTTGTTACGATTACGATAAAACACCATGCTATCGTCACGCATTTCCGATAGCTTGCAGCTTGTAGCAGAACTGATATACTACCGTTCTCTTCCAAGAAATTAGCACAGCAAACATTCCTTTATGTTTTACAACTTTTCAAATTGCAGAAAACACTTCTAAAACATTTTAAAACAATTAATTTTGCAAGTTACTGAAACACCGGAAATAGCATGTATGCTCAAACTGCCGCCCCACAAGCGGCTGTCACGGCTCTGCACTTCCACTCGATACAAAAATCAAAAAGCAACCAAGTTTAAATAAATATATGTCTTCTAAACTTGAAGTGATATCTTGTTTAACATAATATTTTCATCAAATTCTGATTTTTGAAAAATGGAAACCAGTACAGCGATCTCCAGAAGATGCTTTAAGGCACGTCATGATTTACCTTTGCTTGAACAAGTTCAGCACTACAACCCGTACGCCTCGGACGATTGAGAGGGAGCCTGGAAGTCAGTTGTTGAATCTCTGAATGATGCCAAGGTACGTTTCTGCAGCACTTGCCCAACATCTTTTAGGTTCATCGTTCCTATTTTTAACGGAAAGACAGTTGCTAAAACCACCCGCTTTGACAGCTATTTGAGCGGCCTTTGGACGTGCGAGCCGTTAAAGAGAGACTGTCGACCCTTGTTACCAGTTATCAGGCAAACGACTTGCGCAATAAAAGTAAAAGTGGAACTGAGGAGCAGTACGGCCGCATGGAACAACTGTTAGAAGATATCGCCTCATTAATTAAATCCGCTGCAAAAGAGAAGGAAGAAAAGAAAAGGGCTGCGAAGGAAAAAGAAACACGTCGAGATCGCACAGCGTCTCTGATGCGAGCTGTGGGCGAGACGGGACGGGCTGGCCCTGACTACACTGAAGCAACAGGTATGTACGAAATATTCCACCATGCAACTTTCTTTTACGGCAGTTTTCTTGTGTGTAATTGTGTGATTTTTTCTTAACGATATTAAACTGCACAGAATTAATGATTACAGTGATAACGCTGTGATATCTTATTTACAGAGAAAATGGATAAGGAGACCTTTTTGCGTGAAACTGGTTTGGACGAACGTGACTGGGAAGAAGAGCTGCGCACCAGACGAGGAGTTTCTGTCGCTGATGATTTGGCCTCTTCGTCGTCTTCCAGTGCATTGCGGTCATCGCGAAACGCCAGCAAAAAGTACGAGGCTGAAACTGACATGAAATGGATGGAATTTTTTCGCGAACAAGAAGAGAAAAAATTGCAATTTGAAGAAAAAAAAGCGGCTGATCAAAAAGAGATTAGACTAAAAGAACTGGAACTTGAAAAGTACGAGCTTGATATCGAAAAACTCAGATATGAAGCATTTTTACATAATAAGTGAAGGCGATTAGAAATTAAAAACTAATGTAGCAGTTTTATTTTATTGCAAATATTCCTGCAGCGTAGGTGGTTCCGTATCAAAAAACTGACTTGCTTCGTTAGGATACATGCAGTTTATACAGTTAGTTAGTAAAACAGCTACTCTAGACATCTTGTTAATTGGCTTCTGTAATAGCGCCATCTGCTTTTTAAAGTCAACAAACGCAAATTTTGCAACGACTTCTTTGAATCCCCATTCAACACTTTCGCGTACTGTTTTCATCGCATTGTTCTGCATGCGCTTCAGGAGGTTAGTACGTACTTCCAGCTTCGAGAACGGCTTCCGCAAGAACGCGTTGTTTCCGTAACCTTGATCTCCGTAGAGTATAAACTTTCGCTGATAAGTTTTCTGCTTCTTCTCCAGCTGCTCTAAAAGCCCGCTTTCCCTAAACATGCGGCTGTCATGCATCGTGCCGGGCTGACTTCCACTTAGACTGCAGATTAAACCGTTGGGGAGCACAACAGATTGCCATTTTGTACAGTGAAATCGCTTGTGTCCACTGTACATGATTTCTTGATTCACCGAAGGACGGCAGATGGGGCGTGCTGTACCATCAATAAACCCGAAAACATTAGGGATGACTCCTCCTTTCCCCGCAATTGCAGTCGCGTACAACGCAAAAAAATCTTCTGATAGCCAGTCGTGATCCCATGTTGATAGATGATTTTTCCATTGGATATCAACAATATTCAAAGTGGCATAAAATATTCTTGACAGGGACCCGTGAGAACGACCAAACAGCTTTCTTAAATCAATCCATCTGTTAGGATATGCCAGACGTCGGAGTAGTATGCACAGAGCTTCTATACCAGACGCATGGTCTCCTGTTGCTGTCACAACCGAATCTGGAATTTTAAGGCATACACGCAAAGTGGGGATATCGTCCTTTCTGAATCGAAAATAATCCCAACACTCTTTCTCGCTGCAGTTCTCTAGACGAAAAGCTCTTTCGGTCCAGTTATCACGCTGCTCTACTCGCCTTCCGTTTCTTATCAAGCGCCGACGCAGAATCACGAATAATTTCAGCGAAATATATTTTTTGTAGTACAAAAGGTATAGAGTGGATTTCTTCATTTTTACAAATTTCTCAAATAAAGACTGCAAAAATTTATTTTAAAAATTTGAAGATCTAGACGGAAATCGTTATCGTCATGAATGCCGAACAAGCTAAAATCGGAACGATCACGATAACTACCGTCACGGTTACCGTATTATATGTACCGTGTTATCCAGAACAAGCTCTAATATAATTCTAAACGCTGTATAATAACTATTATTGTCACAAACTGTCGATGCAGGCTGTGCAAATAACTTGCAGAAGTAAGCCGTGAGGAGAACTTCCTTTTGCAACCGCAAGGTCAGTAAAAGCGAACAAGTTGCTAAGCTGTCCGTATTACTTTCGTAGCTTTTACTTAATATAAAGCTTTAAAAATTAATACTTACAATTTTCTGTACTGTACAGAAGTCACTGTTGAATATAAGTTTATGATTTTAGTTAATAAATACGTCGAAATTTTTAACTTTCTTTTTTTTGAGTTCTTTCATAGTTCAGCAAACCAGATTTTTATACAATAATTTCCATTATTTGTTTTGGTAATACGAAAATTTCTTAAAATTTTAGAGCCTTACCAGCTGGCGGCCTCCACGTGACAAGGGTTGGGTGTGGTTAACAAAGTTTTAGTTAGCCACAGCAAACAGCCAGTCTTACAAATCATGACGATTACAAATTCTACAAATTCAACTACAGTTTCTACAAATTCGCCGTAAATGCAAGCCGAGGCCGGAGGCCGAGGGTTGCCTTGTTATAATTACAATCCTCACTCCGCCGTTTCTTTTCCGTTTTTTTGTCAAACATCTCCTCCTAGACCATTCGACATTTCTGCGTCCGCGATAGCTTAAAAATCGTCTAAATTCATGTAGTTTGGTTCAAAGGTTTTTGTTTTTTTTGTAAATTTCATTTTGTAAATAACGAAACTTTTTCGAAACGAATTCTGCTTATTGGCTGTATCAAAAAGTATTAACGGCGAATGGGCGGAAACAATTATTATTGCGGAAACCATAACTATGGCAACACATCGTAATACCAACACATTATGAAAGGTGCGAAAGGTGGAGTTCCACATTTACTGAATCAAACTGCAAATCCGACATGTTAACAGTTTGTTTTTATATTTTGAAAACGAGCTTTTCATTTATTTTATTTTAATTTCGCCTAACGATTTTGATTATATTTTCTTATTATTTATTTCCGGTTCTTTAGACAACATCCCCTCCAAGATCATTCGCCGTTTCTCCATATGCCATAACTTAAAGACGCGCAAATTCATGTTGTTTGGTTCAAAGATTTTTGTTTTTAGCACATTTCATTTATAAATTTACGATACGTTTTCGAAACGAATTTCGCCTATTCGCTGTGTCAGAAAGTATTAATGGCGTATCGACGGAAACAAATATTATTATTGCGAAATGCACTTAGTAACATGTACCAGTGGATGGGCGGAACCAATTATTATAGAGAAAGAAATTTTGCTGGTTTGGCAGAAGGGTAGGGATTTTCGCCAATTAGACAGAGAGAAAGCAATTTTTGCCCATCAGACCCAGGAAGAGGGGAAGGGTTTCGCTGGTTAGACAGTGGGGATTGGACTGTCATCAGTTAAATAAAGGAATAGGGATTTTCGCCGGTTAGACAGAGGAGAAGGAAATTTTGCCGGTTAGACAGAAGGTTAGGGATTTTTGCCGGTAAGATAGAGAGAAAAAATTTTTGCCAATCAGACGAAAGGGGAAGAATTTGCACCGGGCAGACAAAGGAAGAGTGATTTTTGCCGGTTAGCCAGTGGGGTAGGGAATTTCGCCGCTTAGACAGGAGGTTAGGGATTTTCGCCGATAAGATAGAGAGAAAAAATGTTTGCCAATCAGACGAAAGGGGTAGAATTTTTGCCGGCCAGGCAAAATGAGAGGGATTTTGCCGGTTAACCAGTGAAGAAGGAAATTTCGCCGGTTAGACAAAGGGGAAAATATACAGTACAGATAGTAGTTCATTGTACGAGTATTACTATAAAATTTTTCGAAATTCGGTACTTCTGTTATTTTTATATTATTAAAACCATAACAAAATTCAATCCCTCTCAATTCATCTTTCATTCGGCGGATCTTTTTTTCGGCAAATAAGACTTGAGCGCTATTATATTCAGTGTGTATAAGCAATCCAGATTTTGGTTTTGCTGAGTTGTTTAAAGCAAAATTCCATACTGAGTTTCCAAAATTCGACGTTTGCAAACCGAGGCCGGAGGCCGAGGGTTGCCTTGTATATACAAAGCTAACTGAGCCGTTTTTTTGTCCAACATCTCCTCCTACACCGTTCGACAATAATTTTTGTACGATAGCTCAAAAAATCCCTAAAATCATCTAGTTTGCGGCAACGACTTTCGTCTTTCAATCTTTTCATCCTCCGATTTCCGAAACGGCTCCAAAACGAATTTCGCTGATTGGTCGATCATTAGAAAGTAACAGAGGATTGGCGGAAATACGTAATTTTCGAACCTAAACCGCTGACACATGGCATATTTTCGAACATATGCATACTTCTTTGCATATTGTTAAGGAAAAGGGCATACACAAATTTAGCAAACGCACACATACGTACTCGGTTTGTCCACTCGGTTGGTTCATTTTACGGGAATGCAAATTTTGAATGCAGCAGATGAACATAATTATTATTTTGAAACAGTTCTTCCTACACCGTTCGATACTCATTTTTTTACGATAGCTCGAAAAACGCCCATAAGCATGCAGTTTGCGTCAACGACTTTTGTTTTTCAATCTTTTCGTCCTCCGATTTACAAAACGCGTTTGAAACGAATTTCGCTGATTGGCTTACCTTTAGAAATTAAAAGTGGATTGGCGGAAATGCGAAATGTTTCGAACGAAAACCGCAGGCTAACAGCAGGCGGTACAACGACACTTATGAGCCAAGAGCACTATACCGTTAATTAATACTGTTAATATTGTGGATATAGGGGAAATACAAAAATACGGAAAGGCGTAACGTAAAACAGACTGGTTAATGTAACAGTATCATGGCTGGTAGCATGGTTCTGTACATGTTTTTATAATTGCTAATATTTATATACAGAGCGAACTTCGCCATTTTTCTTCACTTTCCTCCCATCCATTCGGTGCTGATTTTCCCACGATAGGTTAAACACGCTTAAATCATGTTATTTGTCCTTACGATTTTGGTTTTTCGTCATTCGAATTACAAAGCATGACCAAAACGAATTTCGATGATTGGCTTAACATAAATTAACTGATAGCTGATTGGCGGAAATATGTAACTTTCAGAACAAAACTGCTAATACTTCGCATAATATTATGTGAGCGGCATTTCGTTGTCTCTGTAACCCGCAAATTCCTGACCGGAAGATAATTTCCGATGGTATTCTAGCTGGGGAGACAGAAGTACAGGGATTTTCGCCGGTCAGATAGAAGTACAGAGATTTTCGCCGGTCAGATAGAAGTACAGAGATTTTCGCCGGTCAGATAGAAGTACAGAGATTTTCGCCGGTCAGATAGAAGTACAGAGATTTTCGCCGGTCAGATAGAAGTACAGGGATTTTCGCCGGTCAGACAGAAGTGCAGGTATTTTCGCCGGTCAGATAGAAGTACAGGGATTTTCGCCCATCAGACAGAATTTCAGCAATTTTCGCCTGCTAGAACAGAGGGGTAGGGATTTCCCCCGGTCAGACACAGGGGCATGGATTTTCGTCGGTAATCGGAGGTGCAACGATTTTCCCCGATCATACAAAAAAGAGAATTTTTTGGTCAGACAAAGGAGGAGGGGTTTGGCTGATAAGTTATTAATAACATTTTTGGCTGATATGTTATTTGGCTCAGCCTACTTTGTAGACAACGATTTTAGCGATGGCACTTCCATAAATAAAAGGTATGTATGTATACGCCTTCCGTTATAATTAACGGAACGTGTATAATCCAAAACAAACCGCTTTTCCGATCCAATTAAATTCCATTTACTAAACCTTTATAAAACTACCACATTACTTTCTTCAGTTCTAAAAATTCTCAACCGAGGCCGGAGGCCGAGGTTGAGCTTGTAATAATAATAATAACGGGCTTGTTGTCTTTTGCTACGAGGCGTAGCCTCCTTTTAATCTAAGACAGAAAAATTCTAAATAAGAAAACAAAAAGGCGTAACATCAATACAGTAGCCAAAGATGCAAGTTTAGGATTTTCCGGTGCGTTAATTTTAGAAAAGTACCAGCATCGAAAATATTCATTCGATTTAGGATTTAAACAAGCTATGGGGTAGCCAAAAATTTAAGTAAGGTTTCCAAGCTTTTTCTATCTCAGCTTTTCAAGTTTTTTTTTTAAATTTTTTAGTTTTTTTGGTTCTGTAGGCTTTTTAGCTTTCACGATTCTCTTTGTGACAGGCAAGCGCAGGGAGCTCACAGATGCCTTTATTGTACAAATAAAGTGGAGCAAATACCGCGTGATTGCGGGAAAAAGAACAACAAAGCCAATGTCTGGCCTGAAAATCAGCAAGTCAAGTTGCTGCGAGCGAGTTCTAGCACGTAATGAAATGTAGAGAGAGAAAGAGTGCTGGCGGCAACGTCGTGCGTCCAGACATGTGGAATGTGATGCGCAGACTGGACTCGTATCCAACGCGAGCGTATATGCGCTGAGTCATACAGCGAGAGAGAGGAGCGAGAGAGCAAGCATGATCAGTGAGTGCGCCCGCGGTAGATCCGCTAGGCGGAGAGTGCAGTGCAGCTACTCACGTACGTACAAGAGAGGGCGAATTATTTGTACTTATGGTATCGCGCTTAAACACAACACATCACTATGTACAAGGGGGATTGGAGTTTATTGCCAAAACATCCAGGACGAGGTAACACGGCGAGCCGAAACACCCAAAACCCCAAAAGGGAAAAGCAGCTAGGATAAGTTGACGCCAGTGGCTTTGAGAGTAGCGAAGTCGCGACGGAGGGCGTCTGTCCGTTGAATGTAAGTTTCAAAACACTGGCTTTTCCGATACCCTTGTGCCTTTAGTGCATCGGAGGGAATGGCCAGCTCGGCGGCATATGTGGCGGCGCCACCGCGAAAGCTGCGCGCGGAAAATTTCTTTGCGGGTATGGATGCGGAGGATAGGGCAAGCCGTAGTAACTCATTGAACCTGCAACTGGAGAGGGGCATAGCAATTTCGTCAACACGATAACTGAACAAAGCATCATCACCACTAGCTTTGCTTTTGGCCAGCATATCCCTAATAGCACGGTAAGGGCACAAAGCGTGACCTTTTGCTAAGCGCGGTATCGGAACGGAAATACGCTCAGAAAGGTGGCGAGCTGTTTTAAGTACATTCACAGAGAGTACAAGAGAACATGGGCGAAGCGTAACGTCAGAAACTTTTAAATGCATGCCGGTGTCATTAAAAAACAAATTTGAGCTGCGTAACATGCTGAAAAAGGCGACTAAACAGGCAGCCCAAAATGTTGTTCTGTATTTATTTGGAAGACAACCAACATGAGAATTAATAGAGTACAAATGCTCAAGCGTAATTGGTGCGCGTTTGTTTGGGTGTTTATAACGTGACCGTTGTACACCTGCTAACGCTTGCTTGATAAGAAAATTATTCAAGCCGGGCGAGACGAAGTTATTTATTTGGTGATAAGATGACAGCGAAAACACGTAGTTAAGAATAGTGCGATTCAAGTGTGCGTGCAAGGTAAGCTATATAAAGGGCAACAGTATGCTCCTCTGCTGGCAAGTAATTTAAAGAAAATTCGTCGCAAAATAAAATAAAGCGCTTCCATTGGGACATTCTAGTGTCTCTGGTACTTGGCGCCATTGCACCATGGCGTAAATTCGTCAGCTCGCTTTCCAGTTCCTTTAACTGGGTAGCTGCAAAACGAAACGTATGGTAAGCGTGTCCCGGAAAACAAGAAATTAACATTTTAAAAGGAATTTTACTAAAATTTGCACTTTCCGTCAGGCGACTGAGGGCGTCTGCAACTACATTCTGTGCTCCCGCCGAGTGTACCGCAAACACATGGAAGTTGAACTGTATACTGGCGAACAGTACCAGTTCATGCCGCTGCAAGGCTGGGGCGCTTTTTGTAGTTCCACGGTTTATAAAGGCCACTGTCTGTGTATTGTCAGATTTAACGATTGCTTTACATCCCTGCAGCAGCGGCGCAAACACAACCAAACAAATACAAACAGCAATTAATTCTAAAAAGTTTATGTTTCGAACAAGCGCGCTGTGCAACTCAGGTGACGGCACCCAATTCTGTGTGAATCCCGGCGGCGCACTGAGAGAGTTATCCCAAGTTCCTGCCAGCCAGGTTCCTTGTGTGCACCCACCAAATCCCGAAAACGAAGCGTCTGTGGTTACGGTTTTAACTGTGCGCTCGCACGAAAAACGATGCATGCATAAACCATTCATGGTTGGCGCAAAAATCGTCCACCATTTTAGTTCATTGCGCAACTTATCTGTAATTCGCATCCGATCAGTTGGCTGCTTTAATGCACAAGCGCCGTCAATAAATATGCGGGAGAACGTACGCGCACCGTACAGTGCCCTTGCGGCAAATGCCGTTTTCCCCGCAAAACTTTGAATTTGACGTTTCGTGACTTTTTGCCGCTTACTGAGATTATGTGCAAGTGTGACAAGCTCATTAATTTTTTCATCAGGCAACAGAAGACGCTGTCTGACTGAATCAATAACAACACCTAGAAAGGTGATGATTTGCGCCGGTCCTTGCACTTTTTCCCAGTTAACGAGGAAACCGAGTGAAATTAACAGATTAATGAGTCCTTGTTTTATGGCTTTGCATTCTTCAAAAGTGTCGCCTTTAACAAGAAAGTCATCCAAATAAACAACCACTTTCCTCCCGCGCTTTTTAAAAATTCTAGCAATAGCAGTAGAAATTCTTTGAAAAGTTGATGGTGCTTTAGAAAGACCAAAACAGAGAAAACAATCAACATAATAAACATCTGGCGATCTTCCGGCGAATAACCATCGAAAACCTTCCAACTGCCTGTGCGGTGGATACACAGGAACTGACCTATACGCTGCTTTTATATCCACTACCGCATAATAGCAGTTGGGTGTGCTAAATTCCAAAACGTTATCAATAGATTCAAAGGCGAACGTCTCAGACTGAGTGAATGAATTCAGAGAACAATCAACTGGCCTGCTACAATCAGTGATTGGCCTATATGAACTACTGCCCTTCTTAGGAACGGCGCCTATTGACTGAATGCGCAGAGGCTTCGTGTCCTGTTCCATTGTACGGCCCTGTTCTAACTCTTCGAGAAAGAGCTTATTCAGTTCCGCGTTGGCAACGGGATCTAGCGCACTGCGATAATTGGGACAGTCTACTGGCGAAACAAGAGACAAATCGGGCACCAACCTGAATCCGTAAGCAATGCCATTCAAAATAAAGTCTGCATCTGGATCACCGCCCAGCGTGCTGACCCATTTAGCAAACGACTTTGTTAGAGAACAGCGAGTTAACAAATCAGAATCTAATGAAAAATTAAAAACGTCACAAGAAACATTTTCGCTCTCTACAGAATCCAGTCACATGTTGTGCGAACCGTTTCCGGCTCTAACAGAGCCACAGTTCATGGCGCGGTGGTTTCCGTTACACTCGCCGCACGAGTGTGGAAATTCGCAATCGCGTTTAGAGCAGCGATTTTTTTGCCAATAGAAACAACAACGATACTTATACTTTCGCTGGGTGTTGTTACGCGAGTTTCCCACGCCGGCTTTTTGACCCGCGTTTTCAACCCGCCTTGCACCCGAGTGAAAATGTTTCGCCGATATCGTTAGTTTTGCTTGGTTATCGGAAAGGTCAAACTTTTCATCTTTGGCGGAGATACGAAAATCGGCATCATATTTCTGCACCGCCTTATCTTCAAATATGCATCTCATGTTAGCTAGATATTCATTGTACTCGAGAAATTTAACGAGAGAATCTGAATATTCACCGTCAACAGTTTTCGCTAATCGCACTGCTGTCTTAAAATTGTAAGCGAAAAATTCGTTTAAAGAAATATCACCATGCGACCTTTTAGATTTTTTGACTGAGGTATTAGACTGAACGTAACGGTATGGCTCTGGAAGTTTCCGGCTTGTCCTCGACAGCCTTGCTTCCTTGCTCTTATGACGTCTGGCAGACGATCGTGAGCGCGAGCGAGACGAACTAGGACTGAGACTGCTTTCATGCGAAATACCTCTATTACGACGCTGCGTAATGATGTGGCGTGCATCCGGTACTCCGGGCTGAACAGTCGGCATGGGCACGTGGGCATCCACGATAACACTCGGTGCTGTGCTTAGGTGACCTTTTGCGAGTGGAGCTGGTCCATTGCGACGTGAGGAGCGTGAATCCGGTCGCAGCAACTGTTGAAGGTCATTGCTGGTAGAGGGGCGGCGAGCGGATACTGAGCGGTTCCGATTATGCTGAAGGATATGGAGCTTGACCTTGTTGCGATCACGCAGATTGGATAGGAAGGCCAGATTTTGCGGGAAATCGGGCAAGTCACTGAGCTCCAGTAAATCCCCAGCAATCCTGTATCCGGCAGTGAAAAACTCATCGCGGCTGGTCGTAGACAGATGCAGTTTATCCGCCAGAGAGGAGATCGTTTCCGGATCCGGATTGGTTCTTTTTTCGCTGGATTCGTCAGGTTGCGGGGTTGATGGGTTGGAGGGCTGGATATTATGGTGCTTATACAACCGCTTCAACAACACGTTCTTCCTGCCGGTACAGCACAGCCTTTCCGCCTTACACTTGCCCTTTAGCTGATCAACGGTCATAGCTTAAAGGAGCTTTTGGTAAGATCTGAAGCTGATGGATTCGACATTTTAAAGGAAGGTGTTGTTAATTACAAAACTTTCTGCTGCTAAACTGCAAAATCTGGGAAAAATTTTTTTTTTGCAATGCAAATGACAGCAATGCGAAAGGGAATGACAGAGCACGCCGGCCTTTTATACTCAACGCTTATACTGGCTAAGCAAACCACAAGACAGACCAAAGGCGGATCTTGTACGTCCAAATAATATACAGATTTCTTTACCAAAATCTTACACATCAGCGTGTGTGCGTTGGTACGCATACGCAAAGTGGCGTATCTACCACGCAGGCTGTCGTGCCTCTAACATCTTTCGCTTTAGCGTACGTGGTTACTCAGTTTTTGCCAACACTTCTTATGCTTTCTGAGGTTCCTTAGGTGCGTACCAAGGAAACTACTCTTAGCGGTTTTCAACCTAAAGTAACCGATTAAATTTATGAAACATAAGAAGTAAAAAGGTAAAATATAAAAAACAGTGAAGCAGTTATCGTCAAGAAGTATTATGCAGACATCGCCATCGCATGTGTGATACGCAAGACTAGCGTCCTCCAGTTTGTTTTATTTCACCTGTGGTACAACGTAATTTTATAATAATTGAAAACATCGACATTTCCTTATAACATCAAAATTTCATCATTCCTCCAGTTGCCGGCATTTGGCAGGCTCGAGTCACCAGTGACTAGAGGTGGCAAACCGTACCCGGTACTACCGTATACGGTATACGGTACGGTAAAACCGTACGTAACCGTATAGGAAATGGCTACGGTAAATGACTTACCGTACGTAACCGTAAGCCAAAATTCAAGTTTTAACATGGGCGAACCGTATACGGTACTGCCGTATACGGTATACGGTACGGTAAATCCGGTTATTTCTACCGTAACCGTACCGTAGCCGTAGAGGCGTAAGCTGAAACCGTACGTAACCGTATTGAAATTCAGTACGGTTTGCCAGCTCTACCAGTGACTCACCACATCCGGCTAACGTGCATATGGGCGGCTGCAAAGTGATAACTGCACAGTGCACACTCCACTGAGCACATTCCACAGGCCGTTTTGTCATCAAATCTATCGAGTTTAGATTAACACTGTTATATCGTTCCGTTGGTTTAACACTTCCACAGTTTCACTTGTAAGAACCTGTCAATGCTGTGCAGTGCAACAGGCGCTTCCACTGTCAGGTGTCAGCATCAGAATGGATGACAAGTGTGAACACGTACTCCCATAGCAGGATGAAGGTGTGTTATATACAGTACAGACCAGGACAGGTACATCCACTTGAGAGAATTCCAGTGTCTCAGACAGAAACCATCTTCGCGACAAGATCTCGGATTTAACTTGCCCTACTGGGCTTTGACCGACCTACTCGTTGTTTACTTAGTCTGGCAGTTCAGACTACCGGTATTCACTATTACCATCTGCGCGTAGACGTATAGCGGTAGACTGTACCGGTAACAATAGAACGCGAAGACGGTTTCCTCATTCACACGGGGCTGGCTACGTAGGTAATTTTTGTAGGCTTATAGCGGTACCTTGTTACGGTAGCAGACAGATAAATTATCGGTTGAGCGAAGCTCGCTTTGTATATACTGAAAAATAAAGTATATTCAGTAAAAAAAATTATCGGTACCCATTACTAAAAGAGAATTATCATTCTGCGTCGACTTTCGTATTACCTTTTCGTTCTGTGCTTTTTTGTCGTTGAACGAATTCTCAATAAATAATATAGGTTGCAAATAACTGTTCCAGTACATCATAATTATTATAATAGGTTTTGTAATTATTAGAATTACTTAACAAAGTTATTTCCCTACATTCTACAACATTATTCGCCATCAAGCTAAGCCGTAAAACACTGGTGTTACTGTACAGTACTTATTTAATTTATTATGTTGTATTACCAGACAGTAAATGTCCACTTCTCCGGGATAGGCAATTCGTAACATTACATTACAGTATAATATTGTTATAAGATTTTCAACTATAATAATAACTAGTGGACCCCGCGCAAATTGCGCGGCGGCTGATAACTGCACGAACTATGGAGACCTACTCGTACAGTACTACAATCGTACAGTACTTATATTCGTTAATAATACCACCATCGTGATAAATACGTACTAAATCAGCAGTCAGTGTTAATATGAACAGCCAGCGGAACAACCAAAAACACTGGGCTGTGGCACCGTTTAAAACTTTTAAAAATAAATGATTAATTTGACGACTCGGTTCAGCACTTCCGCAATGCCTTTCAATCGTACTCGTATTATTTTCGGTTCACAAAAAACTTTGAAACTGTCGGTACTCTTACTACTTTTCCCTCCGTTCATTACTTACTTACTTTTACTGCCTGGCCCAACGGTCCTAATCAAAATTACCTTCGCTTGATATTTGCATTTGCTTTCACCACACATGCTTGCTTTCAAAATATTTCTGTACTGTACATTCATTTTCGTTTTCAAAATAGTATGTGTTTCGTAAATGCTGCTACTTTAAACAGTCAGAGGAAATACCAATAATTATTATGTTTTCGCGCAATGAATTTCTTTACATACAGTTCGGAATAATTTCTGATCAAATTCAAAAGAATTTATTGTTGGATTTATAAGAATAATAATTTCTGAAATTTAGGTATTAAAATCACGCGTACATCTTTTCAAAGATAGTAAAATTATTGTGCAGGAAACACTGCCAAGTGTTTTCCCACGTCGGACCATAACGGACGGTGAAAGGCGAAAACCAAAAAGGTAGTTTACCGGGTAAATGGTACGCAATGTAGTGCACGGGGTGAGCGTAGTGAGAACGGTCGTGAACGGTCGTAGTCGAAACAAAAGATTTTAAAAGTCTGTAACGGAGTGATCGCCTTTACTTTTAGCTTTCAGTTTTCCACGTCTACTTGTGGATTGAAAGGGCAATTCAGAAAACACAAAAAGCAAATCAAATTTTCCATTTTCGCCAATCCTAAGATTGCTGTGTACTTTTAATTTGTGTAAATTCGGGATTGTGTTATTATTGTGCCACAGAATTACGAAGCACTATGCAGAATGTCTCGCATGTTGTTTAGCGAGATCCGCTGGTTTGCGTTGCCCGGGGTCACAGCTGCTATGAAGCTATCAGATTGGGTAACATGAGGTTCGAAACCCGAACGGCGGCATAGCTCGCAAGAAGTTTTTAAGCTTACAAAAACCGAACATAACAAACACAAAATTTCCCGGTTTTTTTCAGTTTTTACTTGCAGCAATTTCCACAGATTTACATTGCGAAACTATTGCAGCAGCTGCACAAACTGAGGGCTGCACAAACTATTGAGGGCAAGCACACTCCGCGTGTGCCTGCCCTCAAATTTAATAACGGGAAATCGGGAATAGCTGTCAGATACATAGCTACAGATAACTATGTGTAGTTTTTTACAGTACGTTTTGCAAAAATCTGCAAATGACAACCGAACACACTTCAAAGTTGAAAAGTGTGCCTTTTACCTTCGAAAATTTACACGAAAATTAAACGAACTCACTACGAAGTACGAACGGGATAATGTGTTGCAAGCTGAAGCCGTACTTCTTCGCCGTTACGGTAAAACCAGCAGACTGAGCAGAGCCACACAACCTGCGCCAGGTGGCGGCTACTCACTTAACTGCGCTCGTTAACTGGTTTTTGACGTCCCGTAGACTTTCCATGTTAGAGTTATGAATTTTTTCTCCAAATTGTTTATGTTTTTCTGAAATCTGATAACTTTGTACAATTCTACACATTCTGGGCTATCAAACGGTATATAGACATTCAAGTTTGGTTGAACGTGTCTATGACTTAGACCCTGAAACACACAAATTTTGTGCACCTGCTTATTCTTTTATATAGATAGATTGTTTATGTTTTTCTGAAATCTGATAACTTTGTACAATTCTACACATTCTGGGCTATCAAACGGTATATAGACATTCAAGTTTGGTTGAACGTGTCTATGACTTAGACCCTGACACACACAAATTTTGTGCACCTGCTTATTCTTTTATATAGATAGATTGTTTATGTTTTTCTGAAATCTGATAACTTTGTACAATTCTACACATTCTGGGCTATCAAACGGTATATAGACATTCAAGTTTGGTTGAACGTGTCTATGACTTAGACCCTGACACAGACAAATTTTGTGCACCTGCTTATTCTTTTATATAGATAGATAGATAGATAGATAGATAGATAGATAGATAGATAGATAGATAGATAGATAGATAGATAGATAGATAGATAGATAGATAGATAGATAGATAGATAGATAGATAGATAGATAGATAGATAGATAGATAGATAGATAGATAGATAGATAGATAGATAGATAGATAGATAGATAGATAGATAGATAGATAGATAGATAGATAGATAGATAGATAGATAAAAGTATCCAATAAAGCACGACGTGTGCTTCAATGGCAAATGTGATTGCGCTGTAATAACGCGGTAACCGTATAAGCCATGTTACACTCGGCGCTTGGTGGACATACTAATCGTTTCGCATATCGGCCGAAACGGTGGTCAGACGCGCTATGTGGTGCCTTATAAAGGCGGCACGGTGGTGTAACAGACAAGCACGAGGAGATCACGAGTGATGCTTTATTGTACAAATAAAGGGGGAACAATGCTGCGTGATAGCAGGAAAGCAAGAACAAAAGCAGTGATGGCTACTAGCAAGTGTGTGCTAAAGTGGGTTCTTGAGCGTCTTCAAGGCGTGAAAGAAGCAACTGCCGGCAAGCACGTGCTGTGTGCCATCAGCTGTGTGATGATGCGCAGACTGGACTCTATCCAACGCGAGCGTATGAACGCTGAGTCATACTGCGAGAGAGGAACGAGAGAGCAAGTGTGGCTCAGTGTATGCGCTGCGTATATCCGCTTCAGCGGATGAGTGCAGTGCAGCAGCACACGTACGTACAGCGAGAGAGGCGATAACGGCAAGCAATGGTGCAAGTACGTCCTGTGTGGACCGTACGCACCAGGCGCAGTCGTGGGCCTCTGACATGCCTCTGGGCG